AAGCTGCATTTCTGGGAAAAGTGCAAGATTTTCTCACTTGCTGGCAGAGGTGCAGTGACGGCTTCATCAATTTCTTTTTCCTTTTTTTTTTTTTAACAATGGTCTTTCAGATGGATTCATTTATCTTGAAATGGCAAACAACCACAGCTGCAGACCTCAGTCTATAGTACATGTCTTGTAATTCAGCTTTTTCTTGTAATGTCATGACTTCTCTCTGCTTCTTGTGAGTACATCCAGCATCACTAGAGGCACTTTGTATGGGTCCCATGGTGTTAATCAAGGCTTATGGTATTGCACTAAGCATGACGAAAAATATTCAAGAACTGCAAGAGATCACTTTTTAGTGCAATACACAATTTACTGGAAAGAAAACTGCTCATGCAACAATAAGTGTCACATCACATTTTAAATGGATCCTCACAATGCTTGAGCTCACCACGAAAGCAACAGGAGGTGGCTATGAAATTCTTACAGTAGTATGCACTACAGTTAATTTTATGTAGTTATGATTTCTTACTACATAAGCTTGTTCGCATGAGTTTTAATATATTTTAACTTTTTGTAATAGATTTGTATATATTTTATGGTAGTAAATGATGAAATAGACTAGCATCTACATATATTTTATGCATTCATGACATAGCTGACTTTTTCTTATGTTATAAATATTTCTAGGCTATGTGGTTTGTCTGCAAGTTTTTTCAAATTGTCACAAAGCTCCCAAAATTTTCCAATATATTTACTGAAAAAAGTCCATGTATACGTTGACTCACACAGTTCAAACCCACGTTATTTAAGGGTCTACTGTATATATAATGGAATTAAGAAAGAAGGAAATCTTGCCATTTGTTATCAAATGGATGAAACTGGAGGACATTATGCTAAATGAAACAAGCCACACAGAAAAAGATCAATAATATATACTTCATGGTATCACTCATATGTGGAAGCTAAAAAAAATTATTATTGAAGTCATAGAAACAGAGAATAGAGAAATGGTTATCAGGGGCTGGAGGGTAAGGAAAGAAATAGGGTGCAATTGGTAAAAGGGTAAAAACTTTCAGTTATAAGATGAATAAGGTCTGAGGAGCTAATGTATAACATGGTGACTATAGTTGATAACACTGTATTGTATGATTTAAATTTTCTAAAAGGACAGAATTTAAATGTACACCTCTTAGATGCACAGGAATAAAAGGTAAATACGTGAGGTGATGGATGTGTTAATTCAAAGGGGGAAATTCTTTCACAGTGTTATATATATATCAAACCATGTACACTATCAGTATCTTAAAATTTTGTCAATTTGATCTCAATAAGCTAAAAAAATTTAAAAAAGAAAGTGATTTTACATAGGGTGGCCAGGTAAGGCCTGTTATTGAGTAGGTAATATTTAAGCAGAGACCTGTATTAAAAAGAGGAAATGAATTTTCGGGACAGGTGGGGGAAGGGTGTTGCAGGCAGAGGAATTAGTGCAAAGACCATGAGCCGGGACTGTCTTTGGTAAGCTTGAAAAATAGAAAGGAGGCTACTACGTGCAATGTTTGAGGCAGATTGTTTTAGAAAATAAGATCAGAAATGAGAACAGACTGTGTCATGCTTTGTGGGCCATGGCAAGGATTTGGGATTTCATCCTAAATGTAATAGAGTTCTGTAATTGGAGGGGTTCTGATTAGAGGAAGAATATGATCTTACACATTGAAAAGATCATCTGGCTGCTGTGCAAATAGACTATAGGGCGACAAGGGAGAAGCAGAAGGCTATTGCAATAAGCCAGGCAATTGATGCTAGTGGCTCAGACTAGGGTGGTAGCAGTGAATGTGGGGAAAATGATCAGAATCTGGATATGTTTTTAAAGTAGAGCCATGGGATTTGCTGGTGGACTAGGTATAGCATGTAATATAAGCAGAGAAATGAAAAAGTCAAGAATGACTTCAAGGATTTTGGCCTGAGCAACTGGAGGGATGGTGATGGAGATGAAGAAGGCAACTGGGAGGATCAGGTTTATAAGGAGGAAAAATCAGGAATCATGTTTGGAACAAGTAAAGCTTGATACACTTACAGGATATGTCCAGTAGTGGAGTTTTTAAAAATATTGTTGAATAGGCAGTTAGGTATACAACTCTGGAGTTCAGGCAAGAAGTCCAGGCTAGAGATATAAATTTGGGAGTGTCAGCATGTAAATGGCAAGCAAACAAGATGGAGATGGAATGAAATCATCTAGGAAGTGAGTGAGAAGAGGGGACCATGGGGAACTCTAGTATTCAGAGATCAGGAAGGTGAGAATTAACATACCCAGTTATTCATGATTTAAACATGTTTCCTTACAGAAACCATGGGAGGTGGCAGTTTTACAGTGTGCCCTCATTTCTAGTGTCATTTTGTTATTAAGAATTTTAAGGGTTGCTAGTGGTTGCTTTACTTATTAAAGAGAAATGGATTTATTTTCAAACTCAAATAAGGCTATTTCTATCCCCACTGACTGAATGATATGATCTCCTCTTATTTTCTCTCATAGCAGTAACATTATATATCTTTTGTGCAATCTTAGGTTCAATGTTTAATGTTCATCTTTCTTTACACCCTCCCTACTCTGAAGCCTATAAGCCCCACAAAGACTTGGGGATGTCTATCTTATTCATCACTTTTTTCCCCCAGTGCCTAGCACAGTGCTTGCTATACATGATCCTCAATAATAAAAGGGAACTTTATTCCTTCATGAATCATAATGGTTCTAAGTGCCTATTAGTGGTCATACACTCCCCAAGTTGCTGAGGATAAAGAGGTACAGCAGATTCTGGCTTGGAAGATCTCTGAGACTAAAATAAGACTGAGAGGGACAGGAATAAAGTGATCATTGCCTCAAGGTATCTGGACCTGATCAATATCTGCCCTTCATGTCATTGGACTAAGTGGTTGCCTAATGCACAGAAGTTATTCATGTTCCATATAATAACACTGTTCGAGTGTGGTATATTTCACACCATATCATTATCGTTTGAACTTCAAAGTGACTCTACAAGGTAGATATTATCACTCCTCTTTTACAGATGACGGAACTACTGAGGTTCAGGATGTTTAATCAGACACGTTAATCCTACTAAACCACACAGCTGAATCAGTGGCTGGAACAGAATCTCCTGAACCAGGGTCTCTTGATTACACTTTTCATATTAGACTCCCTTATACTTAAATTATTTTAAAACAGAATCAGTTCCAACAGAATAAGAGATAGTACTAAAGAGATAAAAGCATTATTCTCAGAATAATTATATTTCCCTGCTTTCCCAGGACTTTTAGTCAAGGTCAAGTATTAGGGCTGGCTGGAAAATAGAAATTCCATCCTGGCTGGGAGGTACAACAGTGACCTTGCTGATTCAGTGTGTTCTATTGCTCTATAGCCTAGATAACAAGAACTCTGATTGAGAACCTTTGTTCTGTTACATTTACAAAACCTTTGCCAGACGTACACACACAGAAAATATTTAGCCTTTTGTAGTAATCAGGAGTTGTGACAGGGTAAGAGTCAATCTCAGAAGCTGCTCCAGCTGCTGGGATCATTGTTTCTATGTCTGCTTTTGTCTCCTTTATCTGTAAACTTAGAGGTTTTTTTTTTTTGCCCTTTATATACAGTTTCCAACCCATCTGAAACTAACTCTAAAGGGGGATCTCCAGAAATATCAAATAATTCGAAAGTATATGCACCTGCTAAAGGCCTCTTAACACTAGGTCACATTATGAAATATTGTTTATAGCCTTTATTATAACAATTAAAACGATATTATATACTATTATTTTTATTTACATTTTAGTCATGGAATAAAACAGTGACTTTGTTTCTCATCTACTCAAACCCTGGTATTTCACTTAAGCAATATAAGATGAGTTTGAGATGTAGAGAAAAATTTAAATGTCTATACCTATCAAATTTTTAAGTTGAAATATAGTTGACAGACAATAATGCATTAGTTTCATGTAAACAACATAGTAATTCAACAGTTATATATGTTAGGAAGTGATCACCACTATAAATCTAGCTACCATCTGTCACCAAATTGCTTATATATTATTAACTGTATCCCCTATGCTGTACATTGTTTCCTCATGTGTTATTCATTTTGTAACTGGAAGTTTGTACCTTTTACTTCCCTTCCTCTGTTTTGTCCACTTCCCCACTTCCTCCCAACACCTATCAAATTTTATGTAACACTTACAACCAAGGTAGATTTTGTCTCACTGGATTTAACACATAACAATATTTTATTTTATGTATCGACTTCCTGATGGTATGGAAGATTATTGGCACTTTATGCTACAATCTACATCAAGAGAGTTATTTCTCCTTAAAAAGAATGTTTCATAAAAGTTTATGCTAAATGACAAAATAAGGCCAGGAAACATATCTAACTTCAATGTTTATTTGGTAGCTAAACAAACCATAGTAATAGTTATAAAAATAAATACCTTTTTTACGCAGCAGAACACTGGCATGTTTCCGTCCATTTCGGTTTTCCACATGGCAGGTATAATTTGCCAGGTCAGCCTCCACCACTGAATCAAAGATGAGTGCCAACTCAACTTCTTTTTCTCCAAGATGCTCTTTGAGGAGCCTGAAATAAAGATAGCACCCTTGGCTGAATTGGTTTGATTTGGGGGTAGAGCAGCAATGCAAATTCTGCAGATGTTAACATAGCTCACACAGGTCTCCAGAGGACATGGAGAGCCCTTACTAGGTATACGTTCAGAACCTTCAATAAGAACACAAAAAATGGCTCTTGATGTGAAGATCAGATGGGAAAAGAAAGAACTGAAAAATACACTCAGCAAAAAGAAATATTTACACATCACTAGGCTTTGATAAATGAAGCCAATATGATTTGTGAGACAAAAAAGGAGGAAACTTTGGGCTCCATAGTCAAAGCTGAGTTTATGAAAGCAAATTAGATTTCTGCACCATGGCATGAAGGAAAAAATTATGTAAGAGTATCAGGTTTGTATTAGAGGTTAGAGTTTTGACAACAGGGGATGTGAGGGTAAAGAAAGGGTTCTTGAAAATGGTTGCCTCACAAGAAGTAAACTGAGAATGCTTAATGGCCTTTATTCCCAAGTATCAGTGGGAAGCCCATTCTCTACTTTTCTCTTACTTGTGGCTAATGTTGGCATGTGCCTCCTGTCCTAATCCCCAGTGATACTAGCCCCTTGCCATGGTTCTGCTTTTTCCAGATACTGTGCCCCACTTTCTTTCCCCTTTGTTCCCTTACAGGAAAAAAACAGCCCTATGTGATGTTTCGTCATAGTCCTGCTTTTTTGCTTTCTCAAGTTGCAAAGTGCCTTGAATGGGCAAGAACAGGTGTTCTCCACAGAGGAGCTAAATTTCCAGGAACCTTTCCTGAAGAGTGTGTTTTCTGTTTCTTTGGAGAGTTAAATGTTCACTACTGGCCAGGTGCCTCTAGGGTGAGGTCAAAGTGGGTACCCTGCTGACTTTCCCATCTCCTCCTCCTTTTCGCCAAAGAAAGAGTGTACCAAGAGTCTATATGGCAGCAATCCTGCCATTAAGTTCCGCAGTGAGGTTCTTAAATACATGTGTTTGTAAGATGGAAAATTGGGGTATTGGAAGTAATTCTAATCTCCTTTTGGGACGCCTGGTTAATAATGCACAGAAGAACCCTCTGATATACTGGCATTTAGCATAAAGTTGGAAAAAGACAATTGTGCTCAGTGAAAATTGGGCTCTAAGTATAGGCCTCCACTTAAAAGATCAAGCTGGAAACTTACAAATCATTAACTCAATGGTGTCTTAGTTTAATTCATCTTCCAATTGAGAAAAATAACTACCATGCTTACCTTAGCCTTGTTGTGAGGGTTAAATAATTTAAATTGATTTAAAAAGTAAATAACACTATGAACACTCAAAGGAATGTTATTTCACATCAACATTTCATTATCCAAAGTTATATTGTTTACATTTTGGCTCCTCTAAAAGTATTTGTATTTACATTTATTGATATTTAAAATTCTCTTGGTTTAATCCCATGTGGCTCCCCTTTGAGGAAAGGAAGGGCTTAAGGCTGGGTTGGTAGAAGAGAGTTCCAAGACTCTGAGAGTCTTCTATGAAATCTCAAACCAAGATTATATTCCAAATAGACGTCCTTTCAGAATTAACCCTGTTTCTGTTCCTTTCCAGTAATATACATATCTGAGAGTTGATAAAACTGGCATTTGTAACTTGCATAATTCTCCTGTTTTTGCCCTTTACATTTATGTACCAGCATTGAACCCAGACACATATAAGAATTTTCTTAACCACATTTTACTGGTAGTCTTTTTATTAACTTTCTCTTCCTGGCTAAAACTGTAATTATTCTCTCTTTTTTCCTCTTGCAACATATGCCTAAGAATGAAATGGGAATTTACTGTCTTCACCGTTTATGTTGTATTTTTACTCTCTCCATTTTCTCCCTGCTGTGGATAAATCCCACTACTACACTCAGTTCTTTTAGTTCTGTGTAACCTGCTATGGAAAAACCCCCTTTAGTGTCAGAAGCTGCTTAAGCACCACAAATCAAGTTTGACTTAAAGTTTCACATATAGGGCAGCCACATCCTCTGCCAGGCATGAGACAGAAAGCTGATTCTATCCCTCCAAACCAAGCCTTCCCCTCTTTATTTCTAATGCAGCTCCCAAAAACAGTTCACAGGCTGAAGAAAGAATCTAGAAAGAAGGTTTGAAAAATGGTTCTTCATCCATCTATTAATATATATAATGTGTATTAATTATCAGCTCTTGAAAATTAAGAAGTAACTTTCTTTTTTAGAACTAAGGAGCAAGTTTGTATGTATCACTACAAATCACTCTGCAGAGTAGTCACAATTTCCTAGCAAATATTGATATGTAACAATCTATCAATGTTTCTTTGCCAAAGTGTCCATCAGTTAATGAATGGATAAAGAAGATATGGTACATATATACAATGGACTATTATTCAGCCATAAAAAAGAAAGAAATCCTGCCACTTTCAACAACATGGATGGACTTAGAAGGTATTATACTAAGTGCAATAAGCTAGGTGGTGAAGAGAATGGAGGATACAAATGAGGCAATCCTGGAATATACTTCAAATAACTTCAGAAGTATTTCATTCCAAGGGTTAACATTGAAGGGCAAGTTATATGCAACAGTGAACACTGGCAAAATAGAAAAAAAATTCAGGTGACAGAAATCACTACCTTCAGAAGTTTTATTCAGTTAACACCTATTATTAAAAGTAGTACTAGAAAAGTTTGAAAGTTGTCACTTGCACCCTTTCAACAAGAAAAAAGCTGAGCAAAATTAAAATCAACAATTCTTCTTAGGTTCAATAGAGTACTGAGGTCACAGTTGAAACTCTTGCCCCGAAAATTTGAGAGAGTCAAATACTGAGAATCACTGTACTGGGAGCAGAATCCCAGGAGCAGGAGCCAGTAGCAGTAGAAACACAGTGTAACTGATGAGCCACTGTAGGCCCAGTATGGACTAGCTTGAGAGTTAAAAAATCCAATGGACCTAACAGTAGGAGTGCCCCACACTTACATGAGTTTTGCTTCCAGAAGCCCTACCAGGATCTCAGGGTGAAGATCAGAGAAAGGTTCCACTGTGCTTCTGACAGGGGAAGGGGAAAAGCAACTATCTCGAAATGAGCCCACAGCATTCTGTTCTTAACAAAGGCCTGCCCTTAAGGGAAACTCTTTTACCAGAACTAAACTTCTTGAGCTTTACTAAACTTTGCTTACCAAAGGGAAGGGAAATACTCAACTCTAGCACTATCATGCTTTCCTGTCTCACCTAAAAAGGGGAGGAAAGCTGAGAAACGCTTGTGGAGATCACAGCCCAGACACAGACGCTCACTAAAAGACTGAGACTTTATCATAGGATTAAAGAATGCTTACCACTACATCAGTCAGGCTCCTGTATGATAACAAGGGCTTTCAGCTGAAAGAACTGCAAAGCTGACACCCTCTTAAGAAGCAGTCTCTAGGAAAACCCAAATGAAACAACGGAAACAAACAAGAACATTATAGAAATTTTAGCCTCTTACACCCACAACTATAGAAAATGGTAAACACTGCCTAACTCCTAGATGCATAAACATGAAATTGCACACTAAAGGCCTATTTACCTCAGTTCCTTTCACTTGACATTTCAAATTTGGCTTTCAACAATAACAAAAAAATATAAGACATGTTATAAAGCAAAAAACATTAAACAAAACAAAACACAGTCTAAAGGAACAAAGAAAGTATCTGAACCATATAGATATGGCAGAAATATTGGAATTATCAGGCTGGGAATATAAAGTAACTATGATTAATATGTTAAGGGCTTTAAGGAAAAAAGTGAACAACATTCATGAACACATGGGTAATGTAACCAGAGAGATGAAAACTCTAAGAACAAATAAAAAAGAAACGCTACAAATCAAAACAATGTAACGGAAATAAAGAATGCCTTTCATGGGCTCATAGACTAGACATAGCTATAGACTGGACATAGCAGTAGACTGGACATAGCCAAAGAAAGAATCAGTGATTTTGAAGATATGTCAATGGAAAACACCTAAACTGAAATGCAAAGAGAAAAAAGCATGAAAAAAAAAAATGGAAGGAAATGTCAAACACTTGAGGGATAATTACAAAAGGACTAACATACATGTAATGGGAGTACTAAAAGGAGAAGAAAGAGGGAAATGAAAAGTAGAAACAATTGAAATATTAATAGCCGAGAATTTTCCAAAGTTAACGACAGACTCCAAACCACAGATGCAGGAAACTCAGAGAAAACTAAGTACAATTAATTCTAAAAATATCTACACCTTGGTATACAATAATCTAACTTCAAGAAATCAAAAACAAAGAGAAAATCTTGAAAGTCTGGAGAGAAAAACTTAGTTATAGAGGAACAAAAATAAGAAATATATCAGACTTCTCTTTAGGAACCATGCAAGCAAGAAGAGAGTGGAGTGAAATATTTTGTGTTGAAAAAATCCACCACCAATCTAGAATACTGTATCCACTAAATTATTCTTCAAAAGTGAAGGAGAAATAAAGACTTTCTCAGGCAAATGAAAACTGAGGGAACTCATTGCCAGTAGAACTGCCCTGCAAGAAATGTTAAAAGTTCTTCAGAGAAAATGAAAATGATATAGGTCAGAAATTTGGATTTACATAATGAAAGTAAGGTTAGAGAAGGAATACATGAAGATAAGATATTTTATTTTTCCTGTTTGTAACTGATGTAACGGGTAACAGTTTGATCAAAATATTAATAGCAATAATAGCAGTTATAAGAAAAATAAGTTTGAGGACCTAATGTACAGCATGGTGACTGTAGTTAATAATATGGTATTATATACTTCAATATTGCTGAAAGTAGGTAGTAAGCATTCTCACCACATTAAAAAATTGTTAATTATGTTAATCATGTGAGGTGATGGGTGTATTAATTATCTTGATCTTGGTAATCACTCTAATGTATATGTATATCAAATCATCATGTTGTATACCTTAAATACATTTGTCAATATATTGTATTTGTCAATTATTCTTCAATAAAGAATGTGAAAAAATAATAGCAT